TTTTCAAAAATAGTTGTTTTCCTTTTATAGATCATTGTGTAGTTGTACAAATCTTGCATAATTAACCATGTAATGTAATAGGAAATAACTGTAAGCAATTAGTTAGTTTCCTTATTTAGGAGTAGTATTCCTATAAGAAGATGTACTGTGTAAAGTATGAGATACAATAGAAAGTAGAATTTCAAGGGCTAATAGAAACAAAATAAAAGTTTACAGACTAAAATGATTAAACTAATAAAGTTAGAGAGGAAAAAAAAGATTATTTTGCATTTATCTTATTATCATTTATTTATTTTCTTCTGTAATTGGTGGGAACTTTAAGCCTAAGATCATAACTTTCAACTAATAAATGGATATATTTATTATATTATTGTAGGAACCGTCTTTTAGTTGGGTTCTAGAATTGGACTTCGACTTGGATTAAATGAATTGGAGTCGCCACCGATCATTTTAAAATGATATTTGGGTAGATCGTACACCATCTTACCTGATATGCGTTTTACCATAAATGTGTTGGGTTCGGGAGTCGGTTACGGTTAAGGAAGGATTAGCACCCTTGAACCGCCCTTTCGGTACCAATTAATTTGTCGGTTGTCTCTAATTGTGAAAATTGAAAAATTAAATTGAAATTTAAAAATTCGGTTCGAATTGCTTACCTTTGATCGATGAAAATTACTACTAAAAAAGAAATGTTAGAAGAAATAAATAAATAAATAAATAAATAAAAAGAAAAACTGTTAGTATAATAGAAATAAAAAGATAAATAAAAATAAATAAATTTGGTGAAAAGAAAAAAGAAAAAAAACAATGGAAAAAATAAAATAAAATAAAATAAAAAACAAAATAAAATAAAAAAGTAAAAAACGAAATAAAATGGAAAGGGAAAAAAGAAGAAATAACAAGAGGTTAAACTCTAAAAAATGATAAAAATAAAGGATTAGTCGGTAATTAATCATAATATTAAATGCACAAAATTAGTGATCAAAATGTAATTATTATGAAATTAAGGGGCCAAAAAAGAAAAAATAAATTAAATTAAACTAGTGATCAAAATAAATCATGCGTGAAATCGGAAATCAGAATTAAAAATAACGGAAATTAACATCAATGATTAAAATGTAAACTTTACAAGTTACAGGGGCCGAGGACACAGTTTACCCGTGCACGAAAATACTCAGAAAATCCCCTAGCAAAACAACATAGTTTTGATTTGGCTATTTAAGCCTAAAATAAGGCTTTTCCCCTCATTTCTCCACATTTCTCCTCTCACTCTAGAAATGAGAGAAAAATAATTCTCTCGTCTCTCCCTAGGAGCATTCCCGATAGTGGGAAACCGGCAACCAAGCCACCGTCGCGACTGCCGCTCCGGCCGCAGCCTCTGTTGGCCGGAAAAAACATCCTAGCCTCAAAATGTGCTCCTCGACCCCTAGAAACCAAATACTAAACCCAAATCCCCTAAAACCCCCCACCAATCGCAGATCTAGGCGACAAGGTTCGGTTTTACCCTTTTTTGGTTGGAAAATTTCTTTGTTTTCCGATGACTGGTGACGCTTCTACGCTCCAATGACCCTCTGGTTTTGGCTCCTCTCGGTTTCGACGGATAAACTGATGGTTTTTTTGCTTTTTCTTTTGTGGGTTTTGAAAGGTATACTGGTTTGCTTGTTGGGTTGTATTTGCTTTCTTGTGTTTGGGTTGATTTGTATTTATGTTTCGTGTTCCCCGTGGGTTCTCGGTTCACTCTTGTTGGTGCGCGTTTTGGTACTGTTGATCGTGGTTTTTTTGTGGGCTCTTGGTAGATCGTTTTCTCCTGGCAGTGTTGATGCTTGGTATTTATAGACCTTCACCGGTCGTTGTGGTCCTGAAATAGGGGCGCTCGTGACCGGTCACCCTGGGATGGGTCAGTCTCGGGGATCTCGACCGTCGTTGGCACTGTTGACTGTCTGTTTCGCGTGGCTCTTGGTTGTTGGGTCGTGCAGCACCTTGATTGAAACTAGATGTAAAACCCTAAAATGCTACTAGGCTAGTTCAGGCCCAGTTTTCGGACTTGTTTGGACCTGAAACAAAACAAAATAAGTTAAAAAATGAAATTAAATAAATAATAAAATAATAATAAATAATATATATATATATATATATATAAAGTATTTTCAAAAACATATAATATATAATTTCAAAATTCTTTTAAAAACTATATAATATATAAATGTTTTCAAAATTATATATTATATAAGTTTTCAAAAATATTTTAAAAACTATATAATATATAAATGTTTTCAAAAATATTTTCAAAACTATAAAATATATATGTTTTCACAAATGTTTTCAAAAACTATATATTATATATATTTTAAAAATGTTTTAAAAAACTATATATTATATATTTTCAAAATGATTTTAAAAACTATATATTATATATATTTTCAAAATGTTTTTAAAAACTATATAATATATAAATGTTTTCAAAACGTTTTCAAAACTATATATTATATTTTGTCAAAAACATTTTCAAAAGTTATATATATATATATATATATATATATATATATATATATATATATATATATATATATATATATATATATATAAACAAAATAGCTCCGGGCGAAAATGAGTGTCTACAACTGCCCCTCTTTATCATTTTTCGTGGAACGAAAAATCGGGCAAAGATAAAATGACACAAATTTTTGCTCGGTGGGGTTGAAAATTGATTTGAATTAGAAATAACTCCCTGTCGAATTCGAGTTACAACTGGGCCCCCTTGTCGCGAGGTCGAGTCCATGAAAAGGAATTGAAGCTGTAGTGTAACACCCCTAACCCATACCCGACCCGGATATGAGTCAAAGGTACTACATTGACTTTAAAACACAACTCTTAATAAATAATAGTAAAATATTTGATCTTATATTAAGAAAATACCATAATATACATACTATAATATAAGTTGACAAAAATATTCAGAGCATACACAACTTAACCCTTTAATTACATGCCAACTGCTATTTACATAACAAAATGACCTACTGATTAAGTTGCTTCTGATCTGATGGTTGCAGGAGTAATACTGTCAAGCTGCTTCACCTGTCTCGTCTATTTCCTCGGATCCTACGTGTGAAACACTCACACGCTAAGTCATCGACTTAGTGAGGCAATAATAATAAGGCAATGTAATGTAATGAAAATGTCAGGATCATATGAGATGAGATGCAAACATGTAACTAATCAATGTAGTATACTTCATCAATATCCATACCTGTAAGCGTATGACTGTAACATTCATTATTCTGTATTAATAAGTTTATTAGCCCATGATAGCATATTGAGAATCTAAGGTATTTGAGTAAAGTGAGGTTGTGCACTATGCTGTCACCACAGCTCGTATAAATGCACCGAAGTGCCCTTAGAATTGCACCGAAGTGCCCGTAGAATTGTCCATAAGGACCACGTAGAATTCCTTAAGAATCATATACATATACTATGGATCAAGTATGTGTCTTTCAAGACTTCACACAGGTTCCAAAGGATATACATATGTCCTAAAGAACCGAGTATACCCTCTACCCTTGGCATGCCAACTATACCTATAGTTCTCATCTACATAACATGGGCTTATACATTTCCCGTAGTTCATATCGCGTAGTCATATTATTTCCATACCTTTATCACATAGACATATCATTTACATACCTTTATCACATAGCTCATATAACTTTTTCTGCATATTCATGTCATGCAATACACATAATATAAATTCATGTCATGTATCATAATATGGAATGTGATCATATGTCAAAATATGGAATCTAGACTTATCACAAGTCTAGAACTGAATATAATACTATATTCATGCTATGCATATGCACTCACCTATACTTCTTTGCCTTTTCCTCGATCGATTCTACTTGTAGATTGTTCCCGAACTCGAGTAGGCTCGGTATCTACATAAACATAATTTTTAAGATGATCATCAGATGTCTATGTCTTGCAATTAAGCTTTAATAGCTTACTAATTTAAAGAATTTATAGCTTAGTCTTACTTTCTTTTCTTTCTTCTTCTTTTTCTCATGGGGGAATCGGTTCCCCCCCTTAGGGGTATCGATTCCCCTCAAGCAATCTGGAATTTCATATACGATGAGGGGGTATCGGTTCCCCCCCTGGGGGTACCGATTCCCCTCTAGCATTCTGGAAATTCATTTCGTTGAGGGGGTATCGGTTCCCCTTGAATGGGTACCGATTCCCCCCACCCAGAAATCCTAATTTGAGCTCGGAAATCATCCCATTTCAGCTCAAACTTACATATTTCAATCCCTTTACTACTCTTAGCTCTCATACACTTACTTAAACTAATTATTATCCATTAAATACCTCTAAAACTTAGAAATCTAATTCTCCATATAGCATTTAAGAATCCAACCCAAATTCCAATATGTTCTAATTTGAATTCTAACCCCTCATACTTCTTAATTAGCTTATTGACAAGTCAAAAATCTGATTCAAACATCAAAAACTCATCCATATCAAAATTTCATCTAAAAACTCATTTTCCAAATCTATCTCTAAAACACTAATCTTGTTGTTTTAATGTCATATAAGCTTTCCTTTATCTTATATAACATACAAACTTTCATTTCCAATCTTAACAATCAAAGAAACTACCAAGTTCAGTTTCTTACCTTTAATTGCAAGCCACACGTTGAGAGAAGGAAGAGAAGAAAATAAGGAAGAAGGAAGAAGAAATGGGAGGGTTCTGGAACCTAATATTACACGTGGGTCTCATATACCCCATAACATTTTTATTTTAATTAGAAATTCCTTGCAAATGACCATTTGGTCCTCACCTCATCTCATATTTACTAACCATACTATTTAAACTATATAATTATTCTACTTTAATCACCAAATGTTGAAACTTTGCAAATTAATCACTAACCCGACATGGAGGATGTTACAAATCTCTCCCCCTTAAGAAAAATTCGTCCTCGAATTTTTCATTGCACGAACAAATGAGGGTATTGATGTCGCATATCCTCTTCACGCTCCCACGTTGCTTCTTCTACTCTGTGATTTCTCCACAATACTTTGACTAAAGGAATAATCTTGTTCCTCAATTGCTTAATTTCATGTGCTAAAATTTGAATCGGTTCTTCCTCATAAGTCAAGTCAGGACGAACCTCAATCTCTTCTGGTGTCACGATATGAGAAGGGTCAGATCTATATCTTCGAAGCATTGAAACGTGAAAAACATCATGTATCTTTTCCATCTCATGTGGTAAAGTTAGCTGATATGCTACAGGTCCTACTCTCTTTACAATCTCATATGGTCCAATAAACCGAGGACTCAATTTTCCTTTCCGACCAAATCTCAACACCTTCTTCCATGGAGACACTTTTAAAAACACCTTATCTCCAACTTGAAATTCAATTTCTTTCCTTTTAAGATCCGAATAGGACTTTTGCCGATCAGAGGCCACTTTGAGGTTATACTGAATTTCTCGAACTTTCTGTTCTACATCTTGAATTAAATCCGGACCAAGAACACTTCGGTCTTTGAGTTCATACCAATTTAATGGAGTACGACATTTTCTTCCATATAATGCTTCATATGGGGCCATCTTTATACTAGACTGATAACTATTGTTGTAAGCGAACTCTGCCAGCGGTAAATACTTTTCCCATGATCCTTTAAATTCCATTACGCATGCTCTCAACATATCTTCCAGTATCTGAATAGTTCTCTCTGATTGCCCATCAGTCTGAGGATGAAAAGACGTACTAAAGTTTAAACGAGTCCCTAACGCTCCATGCAAAGATTTCCAGAATCTAGAAGTGAATCGGGGGTCCCGATCAGAGACTATGGAAACAGGTACTCCATGCAATCTAATAACTTCTCTAATATACAGCTCTGCATACTTTTCCATAGAGAAATCCGTTCTAACAGGGAGGAAATGCGCTGACTTAGTTAATCGATCAACAATTACCCAGATTGATTCCCTTTTGTTCGGAGTCAAGGGTAACCCCGAAACAAAATCCATCGTAACATTTTCCCATTTCCATTGAGGAATGAACAGCGGTTGCAATAATCCTGAGGGAACTTGATGTTCGGCTTTGACTTGTTGACATATCAAACACTTAGACACAAATTCTGTGATGCTTCGCTTCATCCCTGACCACCAAAATCGATCCTTCAAATCCATATACATCTTGGTTCCACCCGGGTGCATCGTTAACGGACTGCAATGAGCCTCAGTTAATATTTCTTTCTTCAAGTCTTCATTGTCGGGTATTACAATTCTTCCTTTACAATATAGATTTCCATCTGACTTAATCTCAAAGTCTTTAATCTCTTTGTTCTTTACTTGCTCAATTCTTTTCAAACACATTTCATCTTTACCTTGCAATTCTCCTATTCGTTCCAACCATGCTGGTTTAAGGGTTAATTTCGCACAAAGACCACCGTCTCCCGTTAAAGATAATCTTGCATCCATAGCTCGTAAAGCTGCAAACGTCTTTCTACTCAGAGCATCTGCTACCACATTAGCCTTTCCGGGATGATAGTCAATTATCACTTCATAATCCTTTAAGAACTCTACCCATCTACGTTGCCTCAAATTCAATTCTTTTTGAGTCATCAGGTACTTCAGGCTCTTATGATCCGTATATAAGTAACAACGCTCCCCATAAAGATAATGACGCCAAATCCTGAGAGCGAATACTACATCAGCCATTTCTAGATCATGTGTGGGGTAATTCCTTTCATGTGGTTTCAACTGTCTCGATGCGTACGCTACCACTTTTCCTTCTTGCATTAGTACACACCCCAACCCGTTATGGGATGCGTCACTGTATACTACAAAATTCTTGCCAGATTCCGGTTGAACCAATATCGGAGTTTCCGTCAGAATTCTCTTTAAAGCTTCGAAACTTTCTTGACATTCAGAAGTCCAAACAAATGGTACGTTCTTTCTCATTAGCTTTGTTAGAGGCAGCACAATCATCGAAAAATTCTTAACGAATCTTCGATAGTAACCGGCAAGTCCAAGAAAACTCCAAACTTCAGACACATTCTTAGGAACTTCCCAATCCATTATAGCTTTAACTTTCTGAGGGTCTACTCTAATCCCAACTGCCGAGATCACATGCCCCAGGAAAATTACTTCGTTTAACCAGAACTCACATTTAGACAATTTGGCATACAACTTTTTATCTCTTAATATTTGCAAGACGATCCTCAGATGTGTGCTATGCTCTTCATGGGATTTCGAGTACACCAGTATGTCATCAATAAAGACAACAACAAACTGGTCCAAGTAGGGCTGAAAAATCCTGTTCATAAGATCCATGAAAGCAGCAGGTGCATTCGTTACTCCGAATGGCATTACGATGAATTCATAATGACCATATCTCGTTCTTAAAGCTGTCTTCGGAATATCTTTCTCCTGGATCTTTAATTGATGATAACCCGAACGTAGATCAATCTTCGAAAATACCGAAGCTCCTTTTAGTTGATCAAACAAATCATCAATGCGCGGAAGGGGATACTTGTTCTTGATGGTCACCTTATTGAGCTGTCGATAGTCAATGCAAAGGCGCATTGATCCATCCTTCTTTTTAACAAATAATACCGGAGCTCCCCAAGGCGATACACTTGGTCGGATAAATCCCTTCTCTAGCAACTCTTGTAATTGATTCTTTAACTCTTGCAATTCTTTCGGAGCCATTCGATAAGGTGCCATTGCAATCGGAGCTGTTCCCGGCATTATTTCAATTTGAAATTCTACCTCTCTATCCGGAGGTAATCCTGGCAATTCAGCAGGAAAAACATCAGGGAACTCTCGAACTATTGGAATTTCCTCTAACCTTTTCTCTTGAGCTCTTGCATCAATCACATTTGCAAGAAAACCCTGACATCCTTGTAGCAATAATTTCTTGGCAGACATCACTGATACTACATTTGCTAAAGGATTAAACTTTTCACTGCTCACACTTATCTCTTTTCCGTCTGGACTTTTCAGAGTTACCTTTTTCAATCTGCAACTAACATCTCCATAATACCGGAACAACCAATCCATTCCCAGAATCACTTCAAACTCGTCAAAGGGTAATTCCATCAGATTAGCAGGGAATTCAATTCCCTGAATCTTTATGGGACACCCCTTACAAACTTTATTCACCCGTGCACTCTGGCCTAACGGAGTTGTTACTATAATCTCATTACTCGTAGCTTCTAAGGGAATCCCCAACTCCTTTATTAACTTACTTGTAATATAAGAATAATTAGAACCCGGATCAATCAGTACCAATACTAATTTATCATACAACTGAAAAGTACCTGCTATAATATCAGGGTCATCACGGTCTTCACTTGTCTTTAGGTTGTATACTCGAGCAGTGGATCGAACTTCAGGTTGAGCAGAGAATTCAGACGGGTTCCTTCCTCTGCCTCTTACTCGTCCTCTTTGTGAGAAAGAACCAGCTCTTCCAGATGGTGCCGGCTCACCAATAATCAATGGACAATCACGGACAAAATGTCCGGCCTCTCCACATCGAAAACAAGTCCCAGCTGCCATACGACAAGTTCCATAATGGTTTTTCCTACAGTGCTCACACTGTTTCCTTTGACCCGGAGTAGGTCTCCCAGCACCGGATTCCGCTGACTGCGTCTGTCTAGTTCTTGCCTGACTTTCTCCCCTAGCAGACGATGCAACTGATTCTGATCTAGTTTGTGATCGAAATCCCGAGTCTCTTCCCCTTTTTGTTGGTGTTGAACCAGAATAAGTAGTCGTCCTCTTTGATGTCTGAACTCTCGAGTCCCCAAATCTTTCATTCTGAGCCCTTTCAAGAGCTTTTGCACGATTGATCACCTCCTGGAATGAGGACAAGTTTAATACTATCAACATTTCTTTAAGTCTAGGGCGCAAGCCCTCCACGAACCACTCGCAAGCATCTTTTTCAGTAGGCACAAGCTCAGCTGCAAACCTGCTCAGCTTATTAAACTCATATTCGTACTCATACACAGAGCGGCTCATCTGCTTCAAACTCATAAATTCCTGCTTCATTTGGCGGATAAACTGATCTCCAATATACTTGCTTTTAAATTCATCTAAAAACAAAGACCAAGTCAACTGGTCGGTTGACATCCTCATGGTGACATTCGTCCACCATATCCTCGCCTGACCCCTTAATAAAGACACAGCTCCATCTAATTTCTCCACTTCGGAACAGTGGAGACCATCTAACATGATTTTCAAATCATTCAACCAAAGATCCGCTGACACCGGACCTTCCTCAGCTTCTCCCTTAAATTCGGGAGCTCCTAAACTTCTCAACTCTTTTGCTACATTAATTCTTGGAGTTAGTGGAGCAGGAGGTTGAAGACGCGTCAGAATAGCGTCTAACGTTCTGAAGAACGTATCTTGATCTTGCACAGGCACTCCTTGAGATGCCTGTTCTTCACCGTGCCTGGCCAGGGCAGGTGAATTACTGCTTTCAGCATGCCTATCTTCTCCCGCTTCACTTCGGGAGCTATTATGTCCGGACATCTAATAAGAATAAACACATTATCCTATTAGCAAAACAGTATACTCATACTATACCAGATCAGAAGTTCTCACTATTTGTTGGCATGTATTCCATTTAAAGACTCCATAGACTCTGGTTTATGCCTAGAATCGGCTAAACCATAGCTCTGATACCATTAAATGTAACACCCCTAACCCATACCCGACCCGGATATGAGTCAAAGGTACTACATTGACTTTAAAACACAACTCTTAATAAATAATAGTAAAATATTTGATCTTATATTAAGAAAATACCATAATATACATACAATATTTAAGTTGACAAAAATATTCAGAGCATACACAACTTAACCCTTTAATTACATGCCAACTGCTATTTACATAACAAAATGACCTACTGATTAAGTTGCTTCTGATCTGATGGTTGCAGGAGTAATACTGTCAAGCTGCTTCACCTGTCTCGTCTATTTCCTCGGATCCTACGTGTGAAACACTCACACGCTAAGTCATCGACTTAGTGAGGCAATAATAATAAGGCAATGTAATGTAATGAAAATGTCAGGATCATATGAGATGAGATGCAAACATGTAACTAATCAATGTAGTATACTTCATCAATATCCATACCTGTAAGCGTATGACTGTAACATTCATTATTCTGTATTAATAAGTTTATTAGCCCATGATAGCATATTGAGAATCTAAGGTATTTGAGTAAAGTGAGGTTGTGCACTATGCTGTCACCACAGCTCGTATAAATGCACCGAAGTGCCCGTAGAATTGCACCGAAGTGCCCGTAGAATTGTCCATAAGGACCACGTAGAATTCCTTAAGAATCATATACATATACTATGGATCAAGTATGTGTCTTTCAAGACTTCACACAGGTTCCAAAGGATATACATATGTCCTAAAGAACCGAGTATACCCTCTACCCTTGGCATGCCAACTATACCTATAGTTCTCATCTACATAACATGGGCTTATACATTTCTCGTAGTTCATATCGCGTAGTCATATTATTTCCATACCTTTATCACATAGACATATCATTTACATACCTTTATCACATAGCTCATATAACTTTTTCTGCATATTCATGTCATGCAATACACATAATATAAATTCATGTCATGTATCATAATATGGAATGTGATCATATGTCAAAATATGGAATCTAGACTTATCACAAGTCTAGAACTGAATATAATACTATATTCATGCTATGCATATACACTCACCTATACTTCTTTGCCTTTTCCTCGATCGATTCTACTTGTAAATTGTTCCCGAACTCGAGTAGGCTCGGTATCTACATAAACATAATTTTTAAGATGATCATCAGATGTCTATGTCTTGCAATTAAGCTTTAATAGCTTACTAATTTAAAGAATTTATAGCTTAGTCTTGCTTTCTTTTCTTTCTTCTTCTTTTCTCATGGGGAATCGGTTCCCCCCTTAGGGGTATCGATTCCCCTCAAGCAATCTGGAATTTCATATACGATGAGGGGGTATCGGTTCCCCCCCTGGGGGTACCGATTCCCCTCTAGCATTCTGGAAATTCATTTCGTTGAGGGGGTATCGGTTCCCCTTGAATGGGTACCGATTCCCCCCACCCAGAAATCCTAATTTGAGCTCGGAAATCATCCCATTTCAGCTCAAACTTACATATTTCAATTCATTTACTACTCTTAGCTCTCATACACTTACTTAAACTAATTATTATCCATTAAATACCTCTAAAACTTAGAAATCTAATTCTCCATATAGCATTTAAGAATCCAACCCAAATTCCAATATGTTCTAATTTGAATTCTAACCCCTCATACTTCTTAATTAGCTTATTGACAAGTCAAAAATCTGATTCAAACATCAAAAACTCATCCATATCAAAATTTCATCTAAAAACTCATTTTCCAAATCTATCTCTAAAACACTAACCTTGTTGTTTTAATGTCATATAAGCTTTCCTTTATCTTATATAACATACAAACTTTCATTTCCAATCTTAACAATCAAAGAAACTACCAAGTTCAGTTTCTTACCTTTAATTGCAAGCCACACGTTGAGAGAAGGAAGAGAAGAAAATAAGGAAGAAGGAAGAAGAAATGGGAGGGTTCTGGAACCTAATATTACACGTGGGTCTCATATACCCCATAACATTTTTATTTTAATTAGAAATTCCTTGCAAATGACCATTTGGTCCTCACCTCATCTCATATTTACTAACCATACTATTTAAACTATATAATTATTCTACTTTAATCACCAAATGTTGAAACTTTGCAAATTAATCACTAACCCGACATGGAGGATGTTACATGTAGTTCGGAATTTGGACCAGAATATGGATTCTCGTTGCCAAATTGTAGTCAACTTCGGTCTTCTTCTCGACTCAAAGACCTTGGTTAAAAATTCAACTGGAAAATAGTTCTTTGATTCCACCGTGTGGTTGATAGGCCTTGGAGCTGAATGAAATCGAACTCGAAAAGTCTTTGGTTGGCAGATATCCCTTCTCGACTTAAGCTATGTTGCAAATGATGTGCCTTAGAGCTGAGCGTAGTAGAACTCGAAGGTCTTTGGTGACATATAACCCTTCTAGCCTTGAGTTATGCTGTAAATGATGTGCCCTTGAAGCTGAGTGTAATCAAACTTGAGGGTCTTTGGTATATAGCCCTTCTCGACTTAAGCTATGCTGTAAATGATATGCCTTAGAGCTGAGCGTAGTCGAACTCGAAGGTCTTTTGGTGATAGATAACCCTTCTAGCCTTGAGTTATGCTGTAAATGATTTGTCTCTGAGCTGAGCGTAGTCGAACTCGAAGGTCTTTTGTTGGCAGATAACCCTTCTCGACTTAAGTTATGCTGCAAATGATATGCCTTCAAAGCTGAGTGTAATTGAACCTGAAGGTCTTTGGTTGGCAGATAGCCCTTCTCGACTTAAGCTATGTTGCAAATTATATGCCTTTGAACTGAGCGTAGTCGAACTCGAAGGTCTTTTGTTGGTAAATAACCCTTCTTGTCTTGAGCTATTCTGTAAATTTGGTTTTCCTCTGAGCTGAGTGTAATTGAACTCGAAGGTCTTTTGTTGGCAGATAACCCTCCTAGCCCTGAGTTATGCTGTAAATGATGTACCCTCGAAGCTGAGCATAGTCGAACTCGAGGGTCTTTGGTTGGCAGATAACCCTTCTCGACTTAACTTATGATGCAAATGTATGCCTTGGAGCTGAGCGTAGTCGAACTCAAAGGTCTTTTGGTAACAGATAACCCTTCTAGCCTTGAGTTATGCTGTAAATGATATGCCCTCGAAGCTGAGTGTAATC